GTCTGTCCCATATTCTTTCTTTAAAGGTTCAAAAACTTCCTGAAGAGATTGAAATCCCACGCTATCAATGGGAAAATCTCATGAGCATAATCATGTACGGCATCACACAGAAACATATGTGAGTTGTCATTTCTTCTCTTAACTCAGCTGTCTTCCTGATTTCCACATTTCAGAAATCTCAGTCGTTTACTGAGCCTTCTGTCGAATGTTCTGGTGAAAACCGGATACCGAAGAGCACGCGACGAAGTGATGTGGATAATGCTGCAGATAGCGGGAACATTCCAACAGCATTTGCAGAAGGAACAAGTGGAAGAAATGGCTAGACTGTACAACGTGGGACGCCTTTTTGCCGGAGACTTTTCTTGTGGTAATCTTTACCAGTGGTTGCATCAATTGATTTCAGCTCTTGTTCAATGACGATGTTGTGTGGACTGGCGCTTCTGATCATCCGTCTCAGCTTGTTCGATTTCTCGCTGCTGCATGCATGTGGAACATACTTGATGGATCGGTGATTTAGATTTTCTACTTGGATTTCAAGTGAATTTGTTTTTTTTTCAATTTGACCATCCAATACGAATTGACCCGTTTCGTTTAAAGCCACGCCCCCGATAAGGTGGTTACTACAAAAAAAGGAGCTCCAACAATCTGCCCGAGATACCCCATACAGAACCACATGCTGAAAAGCGCTTGTACCTGCATAAAGCAAACAAAGTTCGTGGTCGGACGAGATCTCACCTGGGAGGGAGTTAGAAGCGGAACGACCGCGCCATCAAGTAGCAGTTGAAGCTGGAAGGTGGGCGCCGCCGTTGCCGACGAGCGGCGCTTTCCTCACGTATTTTTGACCTGCGAAGTGGTGCATCCTCCGTCCCTACGGACAGGGCTATCATTCCAAAGAAACAAAGAACGCAGGCAAGTCTTTCTTCCGTACAATATCACATATCGCATGCATTTAGGAGGGTTTGCCGCCACCAAGTGAATGTCTAGCCAATCAAATCGAGTTTATACGTTCCAACACAGGACCGCCAGACGAGGCCATGCAAGCCGTTTTAGACAATGCGTGTAAGTGCGATATCGTTGTCGATGCCAGTGTATGCATCAAGTGTTGCGGTCTAGTTTGAAGATTGCTGAGCAGAATAAGTTGTTTTCAAAAATTGGTTGAAGCGCTCGAAAAGTTTCAGTTCGACACGAGTCTCCCGTGTCTCGGAATGTTCATGCCATTTTCCAACAGCGGCTGGATGGACAACCCACAGACGAACCGCATTTACTACCGTACGGTCGTGCGGCAAATAATAAATTGGATGCTTTTGATATGCAGGTTAGTGCTTTCGGTTGTATTTCCTGTTCATTGAAGGTTTGGGTCGTTTCATACATCGTTTGACTCTGAACTCTACATATTTGCAGTTCCTGGATGCGTTGACTCTGCGAGCCAAAATAAATCTTCTTCTCTCCACATGTTTTGTCTCACTTCACAAGGTTGATAGACTTCCTAGTCCAGCTTGCGTTGGTGAGTTGTCACAGGTTTTCTTAGTCATATGGTCCTTTTTTGAATTTTACTAGAGCTTAGTGCTCTGCGTTGAAAATCAGTGGCATATACGACACTTTGGCGCAATTTACGAGATGTTCAATATTTAGCATGGCCCCTCTTCGGGGAGCCATCAGCTGAGATTTCCGTCGAAACTCTCTTTGGAGTAGCAGTTCCTTGTTAAGTGCATCTTTTATGCAGAGCGCATTCCTCATCTTCCACAGCTCGCTTTCTCTACGACCAGTTGTCATTCTGAGCACTTTTGGCTTTCCTTTTTGGAGCTTTCCTCTTGTCTTTCCTAAGGAGTACATTCCTGCTCCCTCATTCTTGTTTATTGTACACTATAATAGAAGATTTCAGAAACATGTGCGCGGATTCTTACATCGATCGAATTCGACTACGGCCTCACAAATTTCATCACCATTTTGAATAGGTCAATCACAGCTGCGCTCTCTCCAGCTCCTGCTGACGGATTGAGTTTGAAGGATCAGTGCTATATGCTGCTGGATCTGCTGTGTTACAGGTATGTGCTACTGGGACCCTACAAAGCAATTTGTTCGTTGCTGTCCAACAGATTACGTAATTATATTGGAGGTGAAACCAGCTAATGGACTTCTCAATCTAGGTTACCTTCGATTCCAATGAACTTTCGGGCTTCCATGTCCCATACACATGATCCTACTCCGGCAGGTCTTCGGCTATGTATGACAATACATAGCGCTATGGCACAGCAGGTAAATTCCTTTGTAGTTTTATTCACAGCACCTAATCAAGCGCTGGTCCGCTTGTTGTGGGGGGAGGGCGCTAAATGGTACTCAGCGAAGCTTACACAAGGCAATTTGTGAAGAACTTCGGATTGGTGTAACCAAAGTGGCTCAATTGTATCAGTTCGCGTCTTCACAAGAGTTTGCCAAAGTGGTAACTGTTAGGTAATATGTATCAGTATAATGGACTAGTGAAAGCCGAAAGCCCCCCTCCTCGTAAGCCGAACAGCGTCGTCTGCATTGCTTTTTTTCAAAAGAGCTGGAGTGAGCCGTTTCCAGCTATGCCTCGTTCTTCACATTTTTGATTTCAAAGCAGTTTTATTTCATATTTTAGCAGATTGCTACCAACTACGGTCTCTATTCTGCAATGGAGCACACACTCATGCGACAGTGGGCGTGGAACTTGCTACCCGATACTATCAGTCTTGCCCATTTATTTGTAGGTGAGTGTGTTTCTGTCATATTCCAGTGCAGAAATAATCCCTTTTCTTTTCCTCTTTTGTTCCACGCATTGATGATCATGAAGAAGCTTTTGTTTTTAGATAACGCGTTCGGAAACACGTTACTGAATGTGAACTCCTGGTTGGTTTACAATCCGATGGATAACGCAAGAGCTGGTCGACTAGTAGTGTGTCCCGAGGTAACTCTCTTCCTTCTCTCTACTGAGCGCTCTTTATTCAGCGTAATTTCAGATTGTTCGCATGTTGCTGATTACAATGATGAGGGCTATGAAAATTATGGGTAGGAATAAAGATTATTTTTCTATGTAGTTGTGGAGTGCTACCTGAAGACATCTCACTATTCCGAGCAGAAAAGTTTTTCTTTTGAATGAATGTCTCTTTCAGGAATTGAGAGTGATCCAGAGTTGATGCGAATTAATCAAGCGTATACATGGGCTCCAAGTCAGGTACTTGTATTGCCTCAACTTGCCTTCTAGTGACAGCTACAGTTAACCCATTGCGTACCGCGTGCTGCACATGGTGAAGCACTCTTAGTGTGAACTCATTTAGCATTGTTAGATGACTGGAAAGAGTAGGTATATTCCTGAAGTCGTCAGGGACAAAATATGTGTGGGGGAAATTGCGAGATTGAATAATAGCTATGTTGCTAGCATTTTTCGAGTAATACCTCAACTATTACATTTTTTAATTAACTCTCCTTTACCAATAAAACCGAAATCCTGCTTAGTACACGACTGAAAAATTGTAAAATGGTGTGAGTGAACAGCTTCTAAGCACACTGCGTCACTTTTTTTTCAATTCCATGAATTTATTTATCAAGCTTTTTTTGGCTAGTTTTCGCATTTTCCGGCTTTACTCTTTTATCACGTAACAATATTGAATCCCCTTTAGCATACTTATAAAAGTGATGCATAATACGATGTGTGTGCAATATTTTCATGTTATATGTATGAGATAAAAAACTCTTATGTTTTTACACTCAGCGCGCCAGAAATCGCGTCGCGCAAATGCACTGCGGTACGCAATGGGTTAATATCGTCGTAATCCAGAAATCGTGTCAGGGAGTTTAAAATGAGTCCACATGCGGCGTTTTCTACCCCTGGTTGTTTTCCTCGTAAACCGGACATTATTTTGAAACAAAAAGCAGCGGCGTGTTGCCTCGGTCTGCCCCTTCTGACGCCACCCCGCCGGATCGTAATGATACCAACTATAAGGCTGAGAGAATATGAAGCACATGATATTCGGACAACAAAGGACCCCACCCCCTTTAGCATGTTTTTACCCGTGCTAACTTACGATGAGCTCTGAAGCTTGTCGCTTCGAGAACATAAGACTAGACGACCTTTTTTAGAATCTTTTGAATGCATAGCGCAACTCCTTTTACTGAATTGGTTTTTAGCTCTCATCTCTGCCACTGACGGCTCAACGTACGGCCATCACTCTCGAAGAAGACACAGCCAAGGCTGAAGCATTCCAGGTATAAATTGGCGTTTTATTCCGGTTTTCCAGCGCTACACATCCATGGCATTGCTTCTGTGTTTTGCCGAATCTCTGTGCTACTTTTGGTTTAGAGAGAGGTTCACACCGACTTCATGCAAATGCGAGGGCAACCGGAAATGTCTTGGATGGAATACATGTCAATGCCTTCTAGGCAGCCAACGATTCTTTGTGTTATTTTCCGTTATCTCATAGAGAGTCCTCCGGAACACCAGATATTGTCACCAGTGATCTATCAGTACGTTCTTCTCGAAAATGTTTTTTTTGCTACGTTTTTAGAATGAGACCTTTTTAAAAGTCCTCAACTTTACTGTTGTGTTCTGGAAAATATGTAGATCATGAGGTCAGGATCCGCGCGGCAAAGGAATTCTCTCCCCTCCAAATGCTTGGCCGTAGAGAATCGCAGACGACCTGAGCCCGCGCGCGGCCTCTACCGAAGGCGCAGAGAATCGGGCTTTGCCGCGCGGCGCAAGGGATGCCCCTCCCATTCCTATAATCGCGTAATGACGTATTGACATCCGTTTTCAGAATTCTCGATCGGCTGACGTGCCGAGAATATGTGCTGGCGGTGAATGCTTTAACTGATTATATAATCTCACAGTGTAGCGCTGAGAAAAATTCAGAGGAGTTTCTTCCTATGGTCAGTTCAACACTTCACTTTTTCTTTTTCGTTTCTTCTTCCTCATTCCTTGGGATCGGATCGAGTTCGCCATTCCATCCAACAAAAACCGTTAATTTTCCGCTCTGGCATAGATCTGTGCCAATGTCCACCTATTTACGCGCTGGTTTTCACATGAGACATGTATGATTACCAACTGGAACCTTTTCTTTACAGATGATTCGCGTACTAAATATGATGGTTTTCCATCGTCATGTGATGACATTTGATCGGCTATTGTTGTCCCTAGTCCTCCATCCGGCCACTGATCATGCAAGTCAAATAGCAATGGTCATTGTTCAGGTGAGCTTGAGCATCTTGTTTGGCGAGCAGAGTAGCGATATAGTCTCCGTTACGCTCTGCGGGGGCTGCTCTATCACTTCTTGTTTGTTTTAGGCATTGCTCAACTGCACAGAAATCAATGAAAGAATAGATTTCTACTGCCGCTATATTCCTCGACGAGATGTGGATGCTCCAGAACATTTCCGAAGATTATCAGAGTATCATCGGGTAAACTGGGTTATGTCCATAGAATATGTCGTCGCCTGAGACAGCCTTCAGATCGTGACGACGTGCTGTAACGCGCTGTGGCGCACGTCGACGCGCTACTGTTGCAGCAGTGGATTGTCGCTTGTGCTTTAAGGTAGTGTAGAGGAGTAGGAGCGTGGCATGTGGTATAGGATAGCAAAAGGGTTGGCGTTGCTTTCACACAGATCGTATGAAAGCAACGCCTACCCTCCTGTTATCCTAAGCTCTATCAAAACGCAGGCGCCCGATGCCAATCGATTCCCATCTGCAGCTCTACAGCATTGGGGTGCCTTTGCAGCGTCGACGTGCGTTACAGCACGTTTCAGGAAGTCTGAAAGTTGCCTGACACTTGGTGCAATACAGTCCTCGGTGCAGTATCATCAACGAGCTTTCAAAGACCGTTTCAGAAATTCCCTGAAATGACGTTTGCTGAGATGGCAAATCGGCCCCCTATGATGGCCGAGATGATCAATCCACGAGCGCATTATCCAATTTACTATGGAAGCCTCATAGAGCGGTTACTGCCGGTTGGTGGAGTATTATTTCAAGTGTCCCTTTACTCTTTAACTGACTCTCTTCTGCTTCAACGGTCATTTGTCCGAGAACGACATCAAAAAGGCTTGTTCCGGATTCACGGAGTCAATTTAGATTTTGGACTTCACATTGGCACGTGCTCTGGAGCTTCAAGTAGATAATATATTCTCAACGATACTTACTACTTGTGGACCGATATACAAGTTCCATCGTGAGTTAGTAACAGAATCTCATGCAATCGCCATCACATCTTGAATTTTCAAAATGTAAATAGGCCCCGCGCGTGCTTGGAGACTCTAGCGATTCGGTTTCGCTTAATCTCGAAGTGGTGTGACCGACCGGGCTCCACCGCTAATCGTTGGACCGCTGCAGTTGCCATTTCAATCGTGTTTGTGAAATAAAACTTCTCTTCACCTTGTCACCGGTACAGCGGTTAGCGATGGAATCGCCTGCAATTGAGCAATTCCCATCGTGTGCGACTGAATCGCTCGGTAGAGTATGAACGCGGAAACAGTTGTCGAAGTATTAATCCGCTTGCTACTTTGTTACTTGTTGTTTTTTTATCTTTCTGATTTTTTTTTCTATTGTTGATTTTCAGCGTATCCAATAACATTTCTCTACACGATTCTTTTCTGCATGCATGAGCAACTGGGTCATCATCCAAGAGCGCGACAGTTTGTGCTGGCTATTCTGTGCCAAGGTGTAACTGAATAAGTATGAACGTTGCTGTGAACACTTGAAGCTACACCTCGAATTTTAGGAGATCAAAGTTCTCTCACTCAGTCGTTCATCAACGACAATCACCAAAGGGTGTACTCGTTTGAGGAACTTGTATACGAGTTGGCTGATCGGATTATTACGTGCAGTGAATTCATTCTCACGTGGGTTTGGACTTTCACATGTTTGTGGAACTTACCATATCCGATATTTGTTCTATGCTGCTATTAGGTCTATTTTCTAAACTTGAAAAGTGCTGACATATTAAGGCCTCCATCATACGTGGCTCCTGACTGGCGATTTGCAGAATACCCACCGGCTGCTCAAGCTTTGTATCTTGCCTGCATTGAGCTTCTTGCCAGTCCTCATTCACCGGAGGTAAGCCATCCTTGAGAATGATGAATCAGCAGGCTTTGAGTTATCAACCCCACAGAAACAATGTAGATCACTCACTTGCTCATTCAGCATATTGTTCCGGCGATGATCAACTTGCTTGTCAGTTCGAGGGCTCAACCTCCTCGACCATATTTAATGCTGAACGCGATTGCTTTGTTGTTGACAGCACTACCTGAGGCGTACTGCCGAGTTCTACAGAACGAATTTCTTGCTGTAATTGACAGCGGCGTATTGGCAGGTATCGTCGCATTCTTCTTGTCTTGCTCATTGAAATAGAGGTGTGCGCGTCGCTCTGCGAAGCGTACATGTAAGCAGCGTTCGGAAGTCCCCAGTGCGGTCTTCTTCTTCTTCTTCTTCTCCCTAGCGTTAGTCCCGCGCCGTCGCAGGGTCCGCTGTTCTTGTTAGACGTCGCCATTTGTTCCGATCCACTGCATCTTCTGCCGTGGCTTTCACTTCAGTGAGGTCCTTCTTGATGACGTCCCTCCATCTTTTCTTTGGGGCTCCTCGTGGTCGCTTGCCTTCCACTTCGAATTCCAAGGCTTTTCTTATTGGGTGGTCTTCAGGCCTCCTCAGTACGTGCCCATACCATCGCAGTCGCTGCTCTCGTGCTTTCAGCTGGATCGGGGCCGTCTGTGACCGCCTGACATCCTCGTTTCTGACTCTGTCGAGTCGTGTCCACCGCACGCCCATCTCAGCATCCTCATTTCAGCTGAGTGGAGCTGCCTTTCATGGTTCTTGCAGATGGCCAGCACTCACTGCCGTAGAGCATTGTAGGCCTTACCACCGCCCGGTACACCTTGCCCTTGAGCGTTCTCGAGCACCGCCGGTCGCACAGGATGCCAGTGGACTCCCTCCATTTCATCCAGGCTGCGTTGATTCGGGCTTTCACCGCCTGATCCACGCTGCCATCAGCTGATAGGTGGCTCCCCAGGTACTGGAAGTCCTCGACCCTTTCGATGTTCTCGCCGTGACGGTCTACGATGGGTTCGCTACACTCTTCAGAGCTCAGGAACTTGGTTTTCTTCACGTTCAACCGGAGCCCATTCTCAGCGAGCACATCTTGCCACCGCTGCACCTTGTCCTGGAGTTCTTTCCTGCTGTCCGCTATCAGGGCGATGTCGTCAGCGTAGAGGATGGTTTTCAGCGGTCCCTCCATGAGTTCTTCTGCCATGACATCTAGAGTCAGGAGGGAGGAACGGGCTGAGGGTTGAATCCTTGGTGTACCCCAACGGTGATTTTTACCTT